GAGAGAGAGAGAGAGAGAGAGAGAGAGAGAGAGAGAGAGAGAGAGAGAGAGAAAATGTAGTCTATAGAAGAATTGACTAAATTCAGAGAGAGAAGGTTTGTGAGGTGGACAGAGTTTTCCACACAGAGGTTTAGGTCAACGTCTAAGGCCTATGCATCCTGTTAAGGAGTTTGTGCTTTCTCCCAAGAGCCAATGGAAGGGTTTAAGCAAAGCAGTGAAGTTACTAGGTTTGTGTATCTCAGCTGCTTTCCCCACAGGAAGAATAAAATAAAATGAAAATTTGAAGGTAGTTTCTGTGGAAATTGATCCCAGAAAATATCAGCAAAGGGTTGAGGAAGTGAGACAAAGAAGGGGAGCAGTCCAGAAATCACATGAGGCCAAGGAAATCCTGACTGTAGGTAGCTGGAGAAGTTTGGGAACAAATGCAGAGTGTTTGCCCTGAGGGGCAAGGAAACTGGTGTTTTTATACACTAACTCCTGTTGGTCTCTGTTTGAAGGCTTTCTGGAGCCCTGTGGGGAATGGGCATCATTCTATAGCCCTTCAGGCCTTCCTCTTGCATGGGCACAGTGGGCTTGGAGAAAGCCCTCAGGCAAAGAAGTGCAAGTGTAGACACTGGCAGGCAAAAATTTGGCCTAGGGGACCTGGGCCGTGCAGGCAGACAAGAGCCTGAATGGAGATCAGTGAGGGGGTTCCGGAAAGATTACTCTAAGCAAGAGATGGCGCAGGCTCAGGCCAGAAAGGATGTGGTGATGCAAGATGTGAATGCATTTCATATTGCAGAAATGACTGGCTTTGTTGACAGGTGTGAGAGGTTCAGAGGGACTGATGAACATCAGGTCCTTCCCCAGTGCTCTCCCACCTCCCCGCTGCCTCTCCTCCAGTGAACCTGCCCCTGCTCAAACACATCAGGGCCACAAGGCCACCATCCCAGTCAGCAGCTGGTCAGAGACACCCACACAACCCATAGCAGCTGGGGGCCACACCCTGGAGACCAACCAGGGTGTGTGTGTGAAGGGAACCAAGGTGTGGCAGCTGATAAAAAAAAAAAGAAAGAAACTCAGCCATTGCCAATGTGGACGCCAAGTTCTGAAAGAGACCTCATGAACGAAGCAACATGGAGGAAGAGTGGTTTCCAAATAGTCTTCAACCAATTACTGACAGTTGCCTGACTCATGGCAACCTCATGTATGTCTGAGTAGAGCTGTGCTCCCCTGGGTTTTCAAATGACTGGTTACTGGAAGTAGATCACCAAGTCTTTCAAGCGAGGTGCTTCTGGGAGGACTACCAGCTTGGAGTTTTTGGTCAGCAGTGAGAAGATTTGTGGTTTTTACCACTGAGGAATTCCATCCAGGCTCACAGACCCTTCTACTCCCTCCTGTCTTATTTGAGTATTACTAAGGCCTGCCAAAAGAACAAATAGATATGTCTTGGCGAACGTGTAACTAGAGTGCTCCTTGGAGGCAAAGATGATGGAGTTTTGTCTCATATACTCTGGGTATGTTGCTTAGAGAGATTATTCCTTGGAAAGGGACATCATGCTTGGGAAAGAGAGGATGACCCTCAATCTGGTGCCTTGACGTGGTAACTGTGATAATGGACTTGAGTGTGTCAGAGCTTGTGAGGATTGCACATAACAGGGTAGGGTCACTATGGGTCTTACTCTACTCTGTGGCATCTAACAACAACAATGGTCCAAGACAAACCTCTAAGAGCTTTTGGGCTTTACTGTGAATGGAAGGAAGTTTTAAAGAGCTTTAGGAGGGCTATGTCAGTTCCTCTGAGCCTTTCTAACAATGATCCCACAGAGCCAAGACCTTCCCTATCAGGGAGGCTGCCTGGAAGCTTGCCACCCACTAGTTGGGTCTGTGGACATGCAACAAAGACCATTTCTTTGATATTAAAACCTGAGGCTCTGGGTATTGCTAAGACCAAGAGTTCCCCAGAGACCAACTTGTTGGACCCATCTTCTGTGTTCTGGAGAACAAGGAGAGATTTTTAGTGTGTGCAAATGGTTTCTGTGAAAATGAAAGTTTTCAAAGTGATAGAATTAACTTGGCCCACACATATATATTTTATTTGGCTTGTACCATATTGTTTGAACATATAGGTATTTTATTTTTTTACAGTTCAAAAATCAGAAGATGTTTCATAAAACTGTAGGAGTTCTAGGTCTTTAAAGCGATTAGAAAAGTTGGCAGTACTGAGCTCAGAAGCCTGGAACAGAGCTGTAGCTATTTCTTCCAGATAGGATGTACTGCCTTCAGTTCAGCATAGGCCTCACTGCTCCCTATTGTCTCCCAGCTGGGAGTTGCCCCTCCACTGCTATTTATCACTGAATTTACACTGAGCAATAAATAAAAATATTCTGGATTTACAAGTTCTTGTAAAAAATGGGCAAACAACTTATTTACATTACCTGTCTGCTTTGGAGTACCCCATCTATCTCACTGTGTGGGTTACTAACGCCCCTGTTTATTTCCAGGGCTGCATTTTGTCCCTGTCCTTGCTTCTGCCACAGCAACTGCCATCATGGTCACCATCACATCATGCTTATTGGCACCTAGTAGGGCTGTGCACATGGTGAGACGGGTCAAGACAGAACCCGATTTGTCTACAAGGTAAAGTTCATTGGATCCACAAGGCAGAGAACACAGCAGTTGGGTCTGGAATGATTAGAACAAATACAACAAAACTTTTTATCATACCTAGAAGGGTGCAAGGGAAAGGTCTTTAAAAAAATGGGCATGAAGCCGCCTGGTGGTTATGGCCTCCTAGCCTCTGCCCAGCTGTGGGCCAAAGGTGTGGACTACAGAAAGAGCTTATAGTTCATGGACCAGCTGAAACTCGTTTCCAGGGCTCAAGAATAGCAGAGATATTCTAAGATAGTTTGGACAGGGAGATTCAGGGACGGCCTGTCAATTCAACTACTTCAATGAAAAACAAGAATTTCCTGAGCCTAAGTTTTCTGTCTGTTTCTGATTCCCTCTGTAAGAACTCCTTTAATCTGTCAGCCTCACCACACTGCCCCACTTTGGTTTCCTGGTGGCTCCCCTAAACGTTTTTGGGGGGCGTACTCCCGGCAGGTATTCCCTGTCAGGTGGGGCAGGCACTTGGCATGATACTGGAATGTCAGTTGACCGTGGGACAGCTTACAATTCACCTCATGCGTGCCAGAGTGTAGAGCCTTGTCACAGACTCCCAGGAGGTCATCGTCCCATCCGTAATCCGCGTCCCAGACCTCCACCTTCAGGTGCTCCGCTGTGGACAGGCGCACATCCCCAAAGTCCAGTTTTATTGTCCACGTGGGGTTGTTGTTGTTCCACACGGTGTTTGTCCTCTGCTCCCTGGTTCCAAAGAAGACCTTGAGGTAAGCATCAGTAGGAGTGGTATTGTCTCCCCACAAGCCTGTTGCCTGGAACTTCTCCACCTTCAGCTGAGCCAGGCCCTTCTCTCGGGGGCAGCAGTCCTGGTTGGTGACCCCTGAGGCCGGGCACATACACTGACATGGGTTACGGGGGTTCTTCCACTGTCCCGGGGGACAGGACTGGCTGCAGTTCCTCCATCTTGCCCTGCCCCTCACGTATTTACTCACAGCCCGTCTCAGGGCCTCCCGCCGGGGGTTTTCTTTCTTCACAAGGATGTGGAGTGGCTCCAAGCTGTAGTCCACCAGGCCGGGGTTGTCCTGCAGTGAAGTCATCCAGTTGGTGAACTGCTCAGGCCCGGCCTGTGTCCCGAACAGCAGATCAGGCATGGAGGTGTGGTGGCCCCCAATCACTTCGGAATAGCGCTCCCTGTAGACCTGGTGGAAGCTGGCTGTCATCTTGTGCTGACGCTTCTTTTCCTCGCAGGCCTTGACTTCTGAAGAGGAGCTGATTATGCTGCCTATGCTGAGGGCTGCCTCAGTGTCCAGGCAGTCACTTACCTCGTTGGATGAGAGCCCTTCCAGGGCCAGCTTGCAGGTTTGCAAAGCAGTGATGGCTGAGACCTGGCCACCCAGGTGCACGGCCCTGGTGAAGTGGGTGCCATAGTTAGAGATGAGCCTGAAGTAGTCGGGCTCCGTAGAGGTGTTGAAGTGGGGAGGTAAGTCCTTGATGGCCCGCTTGAAATCAGGGTGCAGTGGGGGATCATGCACCACACGAAAGCTGTGAGGGGAGAGAAACATCAGCTGGGTCAGGATAACTGGTATGGTCTCCACTCATTCACCCCCTTAAGGTCACCCAAGGGCACAACTGAGTGGAAAAATTGGCTGAGAACCCAGCGGTCTGGCTCCAAAGCCCAAGCTTTGATCCGCTGAACTAACAGGAAAATCTCACTGTATTTACCAAAGACCTAGACACTGTATATATTTTTTTTATTTTTCCGATCAACAAAGAGTTTGTTTTTTGTTGTTTTCTTATTATAGAAGCAGCAATACTTCATTGTAGCCCTAATCGTAATAGTTGAAAACCAGAAATAGTCCCAATCTCCACCAACAGATAAAACTCCCGATACATCCACACTCAACTCGATACATCCACACTCAACTCGGATGGGCTCTGCAAATCCTAGGCTGATGGAAATAAATCACTAAAGGATGAAGGTCACATGATCCTACCTAAGTGAAATGTCTGATAAAGGTCAATGTATCTAGTCAGAAAGTAGATTACAAATTACCAGAATTTAAGGGGAGGGCAAAAGATAACTATTTAGGAGTTTCTGTATTTCTGCTATGGGTGATAGAAAAGCTTGGGAGCCATAGTGTGCAACACGGTGAATGCAGTGAAAGTCCTAAATTACACATATAAAAATGTTAAAATGACAATTTAAACCACAAAAAGATAAGCAAACAACAACTGGTAGTATCCACCTTCCTTTGTAGCTGGCCCTGTGTATCTGCCCCTCTGCGTGATGTCATGCTGCCTTACTCCTGAATGTTCTTGGCAATGCTGATAGGAGCACCCACTTCCCTGGAGAGGAAAGGTGACTTGCCAGGCTGAGAAATTAGTCAATGACTCGGGTCCACCCAGGCAAGCTTGGGGGGCAGGGGCAGTAACGAGACCTCTCTTCGCTGCAGCCCTAACCCCCGGCTCAGTGGTTGGCCCAAGGCACACTTATGTGTTGAATGGATAAGTGAGACCCAGAGAGGAGGAATGAGATGCCCAAGGTCACATGGCAGTGGGGGTGGGGTGGCATTGAGGCCTGTTGCCTGCCCCCAATGGAGGAGGAACCCCATGAAGGCATGTCAGTGCTTAGAGAGTGGGGTATTTATGCATTTCTTGACATCAATGTGCCATGCTGGGTTCTTGACATTATCATGCTCCCTTCCCCTCCATCTGCTCTCTTCCTGCTATTGTGACTTCCTGATTTCACCCCTCATGAAGGAGGCCATGGGATACTGGACATATGGGAACCTGAATTTCTTTTTCTTCTTGTGGAGGAGGGTCCTGGAGGCACCTGCTATTTCAGATGTCCCAGTGTCACGCTTTTCCACACCTGTCTTCAGTCCCCTCTCAAGCCACCTGCCAGACGCTCACCTGTAGAAGCGACACTCCACCAGGTCCCTGCTGAAGCTGTACTGGTCTTGGTGAGTCTTCTCTGCAGCAAAGTTGGCTGCCTTGGAATGCGAGCCGGCCATGGTCACATGCGTGTTGCTATCTGGCTTGACGTTCACGTCCAGCCCAAGTTTCCAGTTGTTGGTGATACTTTTGGCCAGTTCATTGGCCACACCCTCTGTGGAGACGATGTTGGTCTTGATCACCTGGCGTTGGCAGGCAGCGCCCTGGGCACGCCAGTCGGTGAAGGCCAAGGGCAGGAGCCAAAGGCTGCCTGGCTTCTGGGTGTTGCGGCAGAGGGTGCAGGTACCGTCAGACCTCCGGAGGCGCTTTCTGTCCACTAAGATGTAGCCTGAACGCTGGAGGGTGGTCACATCCACACCTTCTCCAGCCAGCTCCACACCAGGCACTAAACGTCGAGCCCGTTGGCACTCAGAGCCCTTGGCGATGTGACAGGGAGCTGGGACAGGTGAGGGCAGCAGGAGGAGAATGCCCAGGGGGAGCACCCAGGCGGCCATGGAGCTGCAGGGTCACAGAACTCTGTGGACGAAGAATAGAAGAAGATTGACTCTCAAATTTCTCAGGACACAGGGAAGGGAGGAGGACTGAGATATCTGAACTTAGTGAATATCAGAGCTGGCATGACCTTTATAGATCTGGCTCACTGCTGGGCCCAGAGAAGGAATGTGGCTTGTCCAAGGTCACACAGATTTTACCACCTAGGTCTGTTGTGGATTTAGGTTAGTGGCTGTGTCATCAGGGCCTCTGTTGTTGTTGGTAGGGAGAGGCATTGGGCACAAAGGGTGTAGGGCCGCCATAGAAGCTTGGAGGAGGGGGTTAGGTACCCTGGGGAACCTGGATTCTGGAAAACAGTTGCCCTTGGCCCCAGAAGAGCCCCATTATTCTCTTGAGTCCTTCTCGCTTTTTCTTTCCTCCCTCCTTCCCCCTCTATCTGCCACTATCACTACAATCAGGCTTCGATCTTTTGGAAGGAGACTTGCAAGTCTACAGTTAATGTCCATTGCCTCCCATGCTGAGTCTCCAGTCTGATATTTCCTCCCATTTCTGTGGAGACCACAGAGAGTTGCCTATCGCTAATTATGGGACAACAGGTGGTTAGAACTTCATTTTGAGGAAGCTCTGGGGCCTCGCCTGGGCCTGTTTATGGTCTGGTGTCTCCTGATCCATGATTCAAACTGGGCTCCTGTATGAACTTTTCTTGAAACGAAGGACTGGTTTGGGACTGCAGTTTCTTGCAGATACAGATATTGCTGAGAACAGGAGGCCTAGTCAGAACCCTCTGAGCCATCACCACGAGAGTAACTGGCATGGTGTGAGCACAGTGGGCCCAGAGCGTAGGATGGGTGAAGTCTCCGAAAGACTCTTGATCAGTGCACTGAGGAGGCCAGCCTAGAGTGAGGGCTCCACACTGGCCCTCATCATCTTTCAGAGAGCTTGTTGGACACTCTAACAATGCCAGCATCTGAAGGGGCCCTGGAGACTATGCACTGTAACCCTTTCATTTGATACATGAAGTGGCTGAGGCCTAGGCTGGCATGAAGAACCCTGGCTCTGGCCTTCAGGTGGAGGCATTTCCATCTCCATTTTCTCTTCCTCCCAAGGAGGGGACTTGCTCCTCTGTCCTCTCCCAGGACCTCTGGGCACCCGCCTTCCTCCCTACCTGAAGTCCTAAGCGGAGCTTCTGCGCAGATGTTCTCTGTCCTCACCAGGAGCTTCTCAAGGTGCTGCGAGCCCCAGACAGGCACATCACGCAGCTCATCACATGTGAGGTCACCCTCACATCACTGCTACTTCCTGTCCCGCCCCCTGCATGTGGTCGCAGGTCCCCTCTGATCTCTTCCACCCCACTTAGCACCCACCCTTCATCTCTCATCCGGCCTTGCTGGCAGCCCTCAGGAAGTCAGCTGAGAGGGTCAGAGGCTCTTCAGTGAACATCACTACCTGCAACGGATTGCTGGCTGGACTGGTTGCAATGAACAGGCCAGCGAGTGCAACTTAACTGCTTCTAACTTATCTGTTTCTAACTTATCTTCTTCTGACCCACAACTCGGGTGTGAGAGGCAGGAGCCAGGCTGCTTGGTTTTGGGTGAGCTCTGCTGTTAAATAGCTGTGTAGCCAGGATAAAACTCTTTCGCTTCCCTGTGCCTCAGTTTCCCCTTCTGAAAATGAGGTTAATAGTAACATAGCCCAACTAGTGGCTTTTCCATCCTCTCCTTATGTGTACCTTTACTTAGCAACAGTAAAGATTCACATACATCTGTGTATTTTATATATAAGCAATTTTTAAGGGGAAACGTGGAGGAGGTAGGAGAGTGCTCTTACAATTAATTACAATCAAGGACAAATATTGTATAAAACCACTATTGTAGAATGAGTATAAGGATCCAAGGGGTGGGGAGGGTGGAGCAGAGGGATGAGGATGTGCAGGGGGAGGGGAGATTAATCATGAAATTGTACAATTTCATGGGTAAGAGGAGAGAGGGAAGTGGGAAGAATCTGTCTTGAAAATAATGTGTTTGAATTTTATAAACTAATATAATAATAATAAAAATAAAAATAAATCCTACATCATTTTCACAATAAAAAACACCCCCCAAAACCTGGTGTGTATACATTATTGAATAGAAAACCAATTTGCTCTGTAAACTTTCACTTAAGTCACCACCAAAAGCTAATAAAAAGTAAGCAGTTTTTAGGGTAAAGTAAAAATTATCATGTTGTTGTTATGTGCCGTCAAGTCATTTGCGACCCATAGCGACCCTATGTACAACAGCCCTAAACCCTGCTCTATGCTGTACCAGTCACATTGCCTCTGACACACCCATCCCGATTACCCCAGTCATAGTTAAGCTTAAAAGCAGGGTTTTAAAAAATCCAGATGGTGTAAGAGAACCAAAACCACTGAATCTATCTTGCAGCACAGGTTTTCCTTAAATCTTCAAAGCTGTTCAAAAGATTAAAAAAATCTGACAAATAATGAATAAACACCTTGTCAGTATTAATTGCTCCTCATCTAGACTTATTGGTTGGATAGACTCCTTTGTGACACCCAGAGCTGTGGGCCTCCTTCAAACAGGAAACAAAATTCACCCTGTGGCCCAACTTTCATCCAGACCATGTTGTTGTTAGGTGCTGCTGAGTGAAGTACCAGACACAGTGATCTTATGAACAAAAGATCTTGAATCCTGCCCTAGTTTGTGCCGTCCTCACCAACTCTGACATACGCAACCCAATTGCTGTCATACTCGAGCCAATTGCTGCAGTTTCTGGTAGAAGATCTTCCTCTCTTTCACCAACCCCCCACCTTTCCAAGCACAATGACCTTTTCCAAGGAATAGCCTCCCCTAACCATGTACCCACCTTATGTTGGAAGAACCTTTACCTCCAAGGAGCACTCCTGCTGCATTTTCGCTAAGGCGATCAATCCTTAACACCTGAGAAGCAGCCATTCCTTAGAAGGTCAAAAGAGTAGCATTTGCCCAAGGACAAAACCATGAAAGCAAGAAAGATTAGAGGAAATGAGAATTACAAGGAGAAAGGAGAAGTATGATTACACTGTGGAAATTAAAGAACAAAATGTGTGTAATAGTTGAAGGAAAAAGCTTTTACTCAAATCACATCAAAGAGGAAATAAAAGAGAACAATTTTATCTTTGGAAGAGCATATTAATGACACAATGAATTTAAAGCTACAAGCAATGAGCAGCTGAATTATAAACATATTTTGCGAGTATTCATATGGTCTTAAAAACTGATGATAATAATACTTTTGGGGAATGGTGGTTTTTATATGAGAAAAAAAATTTCTTTACTAAAACCGAAATGCTAATTTTTAAGTAATTTCCAAAATTCTGTTTTCCAGCTCAGAGTAGCATTTATTCTTTTATTTTTTTTTCTATAATTATATTTTATTAATTTTCATAAACATTTACAGAGGTTTTGGGTTTCCATTCATTCATTGTTGCACTATTCTCTCTACCCTCCTCCCAGTTTGTTCTTGTCCAAATGCCACAGTGCTTGTCAAAGCCAGTTCTGATTAATCTTCTTTGTTAGTGTGTCCTTTGCCATTCCCTATCACTCCTCCCTGAGAGAGACTTCACCCTGAGTCATAAGGAAAAGGGGATGGCGTATTCTCTTAGCTACTTCCTGCTGAAAAGGGACGCTGTGGGTTTCAGGGTGAAGATCTTCTCTCACTACTCTAAAGGGCCCCTTTGGCAGTAGGAAACACATAGACTATTATGGAGATTGATTTTGGAATTTAGATGCACTCAGAGTAGCATTTAATTATTGCATTCTTAGTATATGGGATACTTGATGAACTACACCAGATAATAGACATGAATGACAATTTGTGGAAGAATAAGGCCAGTATCTCCTTATACTAACAAAAATCAGCACACAAGAGATTGTTGCCAACTGTCTTGTGGTTTTAAAAGTTTTCTTCACAGGTCCTGCTGAGAAGCACCTTCTGACTCGTGCAGCATTATTTCCAAAGGTATGAGTCGCCTGCTACTCGACAGCACTTAATAACATCAACATAGAGAGTGATCAGCTGGCCCAATGGACTGAAAACGATGCAACCAAGCCAAAGGTGGGTGAGTTTTAATCTGCGGCCCTTGGGCCCATCTTTCATTGTTTTTGTTCAGACATTCCTCTAGGTCGTATCCGCATGCTGTACAGTCACTTGTGGTTGCTGTGGGGCTGAACACTGTGACACTGATGCGTCAAATGCGTTAATGGTTGGTTACCCATGGTGGACAGTGTTGGGTGAAACTCCCCGGTTAAAACAAGCTTGGAAGCAGGAGTGGCATCCACTTCTGTAATAGCTTGCCTACGAACCTGGAGAGAGGATGAGAGACACACAAGTGTCGAGGACTCTCCTTCATAGGGTCGCTATGAGTCACCTGCGACTCGATGGCACTTAACAACAACATAAAGCACTAGGAAAAGCTTGATGTCTTGGGGAAGCCCCTGCAAATCAGTTCTGAGGACAAAACAGAAAACATCAGACAGAGGCAGATGGCAAACCATTTCCCTCTGTGCTGAACTGAGGGAGGAGGCATCCAGGATCTTCCTTCTTGTCCTGGTCACTCAGGACCACAGGAGCTTCTCCATGGCCCTCTCCATGGGCTACCTCCCTTACTTATCCCAACAAGTTTTAGCGACAATTGAGTGAGATAATGAAAAACAAATAAAAACCTTGTCAGATATTGGTGATGGTTGTATAACAGGGTCAATATCGTCAATCATGTTGGAGTTAGACGGAAATATCCACAGCTAAAATGCTGAATTTGCATGCAACTATTGATATCCTCCTATCCAAAACCAAGAGGGGTGGTGAACATCAAAGATGCATAGAAGTAACTAGATCAAAGGACTAATGGGGCACTCAAGCCCTAACCTCAAGGACTGGAGACCAGCAGAGCTAGAGAGTGTCCCACAATCACTGCTGACCACTCTAAAAAGGGTCATGGTACAGGCTTCTGGATAGAGTGGGA